TGATCTGTGAGTAACCGATCGCTTTCTATGTCTCCTTCCAGGCAGCTCCACACTCCCACTAACGTCCTCCTCCTCTCTCTGGCTGTGTCCGACTTTCTCGTCGGCCTCTTGGTGATGCCGGGGGAAATCTTCCGAAAGAGTAGCTGCTGGGGGAACGCGATGTGTGTCTTTTACGCTTTCCTGATCGCCCACATCGTGTCTGCGTCGGTCGGGAACATCGTCCTCATATCGTTAGATCGCTACGTGGCTATCTGCCACCCTTTCCACTACCCCACCAAAATCACCATGCCTAGAGTCAAATCCTGTGTCTACCTCTGTTGGCTCTGTGCTGCTTTTTACAGGATAATCTATTTTAAGGACGAGCTTCTCCACCCAGATACGTCCGACTCGTGCACCGGAGTGTGCACGTTTGTCGTCGACCGTCTGGAGGGGTCCGTGGATCTGGTTTTGAACTTTATAGCTTCGGTGACCGTCATCGTAGTTCTGTACGTGAGAGTGTTCGTGGTGGCTGCGTCTCACGCCCGGGCCATTCGCTCTCATCTGACCGAGGCCAGCGGTCAGCCGCCGGCTCACAGGACGAGGAGATCCGAGCTGAAGGCGGCCAGGACTCTCGGCGTCCTCGTCTTCGTTTATCTGATATGCTTCAGCCCCTACTACTGTTACTCGCGCGTCCACACCGACGTGACCACCACTTCGTACGCGTCGTTTTTGTTCTTTCTGTTTTACTTCAACTCCTGCCTGAACCCCATCATGTACGCCTTCTTTTACCCCTGGTTCAGAAAAGCTGTGAAGCTCATTGTGACTCTGCAGATCGCGCAGCCTGGCTCCTGTGAGACCAACATACTATAGGGATCGTTGAAAACAGTATATTTTCAATGATCTGGAGGAAGAGATTTTTTCCTAAGAAATGTGTAAATGTTTTATGGAATTTTTTGCCACTAATAGGGTTTAACAGCAGTCTGAAGCAAGATGTAATTACACATTAACATGCCCACAACAATAATTTTTTTCCCTTTTTTTCCCCACTTCCCACTTTTTTCAAATATGAACTCATTTGTTTTCCACCTGGAGAGATAGAAGTTTCTGCGTAAATGTTTCTGCTGTTAAAAATAAACGATGTACAGACCAAGACTGATTATATTATGTTTAATAGATTCAAATGTAACAATGTAACCCCCACCTTTGAGTACAGAATCATCCCATCCTCCCAGTACATTGTTGGAAACCACTATAGTTCACTCATAATCTTTGCTCAACACCTGATAGGCTGCCTGCTTTCTCTCTGTTGAGTTCTGTAGGGGCTGCTGGGTACCTGAGCCTGGGGGCCTGAGTGGGTGGTAGCTGAGGCCTCCCTCTTTATTTCAGCCCCCCACTAAATTAAAATGTAACTTAAACCACTCACACTGATCTCACAGAAACGTTTAGCCTTACTCAGCATGTGATTGGCAATGCATTACATTGGATCTTGTTTTTCATCCTTGTTTAATGGATGTGATTCCTTCTGAGGACAGACAACAGGCAGCAATTGTGTCTTTGGATGATTTTTTGTAAAATTAGGATTGTTTTTGACCGTGTTTATGAAAAGCAAACTAGCCTTTCCAACTAGTAATCAACTAGGGAATTCTTGTGCTGCCTGCTGCAAAACGTCAAGTAGTTTTTCCTCTTCAGGCATTAAAGGCTGAGCTATTTTTGAGAAGCACTGCCTCTGAATTCCAGATACAGATGTTCATATGACTAACACACATGTAGAAATAAATGACAGTATTCATGTGTAGAAAAACATTCGGTGCTTGAGGGAAACAAACACATTTCGGAGTGCATTGTGACTATTTCAGATAAAAATGTAAAGATCAGAGACATTGTTTTTCTAAATACCTCTCATATCTGACAGAATCCCCAAAAGTCCCTCTAAAAGTAAGTCAAAAACATCTATTCTTTGGCACTTTGTGAGGACTGAAATCATTCCTTTTTTTCCATCCACCCGGATATCTTGACCTTGTTCGCCCGTAATCCTTAAAATAGTTTTGTCCATTTCACCATATGGTATAAACAGGCAACTTAACTCAATGAAACGTTATTCCATGTTTAAAAACCTTTTTCCGGTAACGGTACATCTGAAACGAGAAAAGTAAAGAGTTTACTCTGCTTCTGGTTTTACTGACTCAATGCTTTGTAAAAATTAATCTTCCAAATAAAGATTAAAGTGCATACGTGGTGTCATCACATAATATTTACTATATATCTATTTATTTTTGCTTGAGAAATTCAGAATGGACTGAATTACTTCAGAGCCTCAATCCATCAATCCATTTTCTGTCCCCACATCAAAACTACTGGACCACTTTTTTTCATCCCAAATCAGTTTGCCTGTGATTTTAACAATTCAACAATTTGACTGTGGCAGAAAGACATTTATATCAAAATGCTGCCATTAATCAGACCTCTGTATTTGATTTAAGATGTCATATCTGGGCCTATTAGATGTTCACATGCATGACTGACTGCAAAAATGATTAAGAATCGAGCAAACAAAGACAATCTGTTCAAAATCAGATTTGTAAAAGATGTATTGTAACTCGAATAATCTTGAGAAAAAAAATTAAGAAATATTTTGAGTTCACTGAAGATAAGAGAGATTAACAGAGGTCCGATGGGAGGTAACAACAGGTAGATGTTTTGTGGAGTGAAGAAGGAATAAAACAATGTTATTGGACGAAGAAGAGGAGGGGAAGGATGATCGAAGGGGATAAATAGTCTGTGATCGGAGATGTCCGGAGCAGAGCGTTTTTTTTCTGGTGATGGAGATCAGGGATGGAGCTGAGCTCTGCTTCCCTCTGCTGCGGAACAGCTCCTGCAGGAGGCCCAGCCTCCACTGGTCCGAAGCCGTGCTCCTCAACATCCTGCTGGCCTTCATCTCCCTGATCACCGTGACTCTCAACCTGCTCGTCATCATCTCCATCTCCCACTTCAGGCAGGGACACCTTCAGTTGAATATATACAAATAAGATCACTGATGATGGCAGGAAACCAGATATGAATACTGTTTAAACATTTTTAGCTAATTGTTGTATGTTTCTTTCTCTTTCCAGGCAGCTCCACACACCAACCAACATCATCCTCCTCTCTCTGGCTGTCTCCGACTTTCTTGTCGGTCTCCTGTTGATGCCTTTAGAAATCTTTAGGAAAAACACGTGCTGGACCCTCGGTGATGTCGTGTGTGTTCTTTATGGTTATCTGGTCTGCTACATTGTCTCAGCTTCAATAGGTAACATTGTGCTCATATCAGTTGACCGGTACGTCGCCATTTGCGACCCTCTGCATTACCCCGCCAGGATCACCGTGACCAAAGTGAAATGCAGCGTTTGCTTCTGCTGGCTCTGGTACGCTTTGTACAGCGTGGTCTACATGAAGGACGATCTGATTCAACCCGGTCGGAGCAATTCCTGTTTCGGAGAGTGCACCCTCGTCATCAATTACGTTACGGGAGTCGTTGACCTTTTTGTGAATTTTATACTGCCAGTCACGGTCATCGTGGTTCTGTATGTGAGAATATTCGCGGTGGCGGTGTCTCATGCCGGCTTCGTACGGTCTCGTGTTACAGACACCACCCTCCAGCATTCACTGACTATAACAAAAAGGAAATCTGAGCTGAAAGCGGCCAAGACCCTCGCTGTTCTTGTCTTTGTGTATTTGGTGTGTTTTTGCCCATTTTATTGTTACTCCCTGGTTGAGGTTAATTTGACCAGTACTTCTTACGCCTCTTTTTTGTTCTTTCTGTTTTATTGTAACTCGTGCCTTAACCCTTTGATCTACGCGCTGTTTTACTCCTGGTTCAGAAAGGCCGTTAAACTCACCGTCACTCTGCAGATTCTGCAGCCCGGCTCCTGTGAGGCCAACATACTGTGAGGACGATCAGGACTGACCGCTCTGCACAGAGCTTCATTTAGTAAAATTAGTTGACATAAATTCAGGATAAAACACTTTTCTTATCCAGTTTGGGCAATAAAATGATGAAGTATTGTTTTCTATGTTTAGATAATTATGCACATACAGAATCCAGGAAAAATATAGCAGGATATAAGGGTTTTTTCTATCATCTAAGGAGGGGTCAGATCCGTTACAATGAAATACACTCGCACATTCAACTAGTTTCTATTATTTGTATATATTACTCTCTACTCTCTGTTACTATGTGTTACTTTCACAAACAGTGTATGACTGTGGGTACTGTTGCAAAAGAATGAGCTCTCTGTTACAAATAAGCAGGTAACACTAAGCACAAATGCACACCTTATGACAATTTACTGAAGCAAATAAAGATTAAAATCATTCCATTGACTCTTATTTAATGGGTTATTGAAATGAAAGGATGGGTATCTACTTGTTCATGATCTTGGTAGTTTAATTTTTATTCTTATAAGGAAATATAATATTTATCCAAATACATATATATTTGTTTTTCTGTTTGTTTGTATGTCTGTATTGTTGGAAATGTTATTAGTTGAGAAAAATTGCCCTCCATGTTTGAAGCCGTCCATTTTAATTTCAATAAAAATTTAACGCTTACACCCATTTCAGCCAGGCTTTATAAAATACATTTGGACAGGACAATATGTACATATTCATTAAATGAAAATGAAATCATAACCCACTCCAAGACTGTGCATAATTAATAGATGTAATAGGCACATTTATGTGATGTCACAAAGAATGCTGGGAGAAAAAAAAAGATGGAGAAGGGCAGGTCATAGATGATGAGAGCTACCAGTTATATATCCAGCTGTTGCACAAAGGAAAGGCGGAGTGCAGCTCTCTGCATCTCTCTTCAGATGGAGATCCAGGTGGAAGCAGACCTCTGCTTTCCACAACTCCACAACACATCCTGCAAAAAGCCTGCGACTCCATGGGCCGAAGCCTTGCTCCTTCAGACTGTGCTGTCCGTCATCGCTCTGCTCACCGTGGTTCTCAACCTGCTCGTCATTATTTCCGTCTCCCACTTCAGGCAGAGATAACCTTTTCAATGTTCCAGATTCACACATAAGTTGTGCCTGATTTTGAAATGAGTCATATGTTGTACGTGCGCACAGCAAATTTGGGATTTAACTTTAACGTTGGAAACAGTGAATGAGGTTTCATCTCATCATTTTAATATTTTACCAATTAATGTGGAAGATCAGATCATTTAAGTTGATTTTCATCGTCTTGTTATTGGGAAAATGACAGCTTAAATTCTGCTTCTCTGTCTCTTTCCAAGAGTTATGATGCAGCCTTTATCTCAGGAAATAATCAAATGTTAAAGTTTCAGTAATATAAAATGAAAAAAAGATTGTATGTTAATTTAGACGTTTTGGTATCTTTTTTTAGACCTCGTACCAAACCTCCATCGTTTTGTTAGACATTTAAAGAAATTTGGGTGAAAATTCATGGGGGAAAGGGGAAAAGATTGACCTGAATTATTCCCACAAGCCTCCCCCGAAAAGTCAAAAGATCTGATCCTTTACCAATAAATGTGCCAGATCAGATGTAATTTAAGTTGATTTTTATCGTCTTGTTATTGGGAAAATGACAGCTTAAATTCTGCTTTTCTGTCTCTTTCCAAGAGTTATGATGCAGCCTTTATCTCAGGAAATAATCAAATGTTAAAGTTTCAGTAGTATAAACTGAAAAAAAGATGTATGTTAATCTAGACGTTTTGAACTTTAAGATGCGAAGACTAAAATGAAAAATTCTTGTTAATAATGATTTGACATTTTATAATTAAGATGCACAGGTTTGTTTTTGAATTTGCTTTTCTGTCTCTTTCCAGGCAGCTCCACACGCCCACTAACATCCTCCTCCTCTCTCTGGCTGTGTCAGACTTTCTTGTCGGTCTCGTGTTGATGCCGGGAGAAATCATGAGAAACACGGCCTGCTGGATTCTCGGTGACTTCATGTGTTCTCTCGATAATTACCTGTCCTACATCATCACCTCCGCGTCTGTGGGAGACATGGTGCTCATATCAATCGACCGCTATGTGGCCATTTGTGACCCTCTGCATTACCCAGCCAGATTCACAGAGAGAAAAGTCCAAATCTGTGTGTGTCTGTGTTGGCTCTGCTCTGTTCTCTACAACATTTTACTCGTAAAAGGCGACCTGGCTCAGCCGGGCAGACACAGTTCTTGTGATGGAAGGTGTGTGATCGTTGTTGAATACGTTACAGGAACTGTAGACATGGTCACAACGTTCATCGCTCCGGTCACAGTCATCGTTGTTTTGTATTTGAGAGTATTCGTGGTGGCCGTGACTCAGGCTCGGGCCGTGCGTTCTCACGTCACGGGCATCTCCCTGCAGCTGTCCATGAGTCAGACAAGGAAATCTGAGCTCAAAGCAGCCAGGACTCTGGGTGTACTGATTATTGTGTTTCTCATGTGTTTCTGCCCGTACTACTGTGTGTCTCTTGCAGGGGATGATTTGCTCAGCGGCTCATATGCATCCTACGTACTCTTTCTGTTCTATTCAAACTCGTGCCTAAACCCTCTGATCTATGCACTGTTTTATCCCTGGTTTCGAAAAGCAGTTAAACTCATCGTCACTCTTCAGATACTGAACCGTCATTCTTGTGACACAAACATGCATTAGCCAAAATGATCCACCGTGTTTGTTCTTATCTCACAGTCGGTCACTATAAACCGAAACAAAATGAGCTACTGAACACTTTGTAAATAATTTCCTAGATGGTGTTAAAAGTGCTGGCGAAGTCAAATAACATACAGGAAATTTAACATATCTACCTTTACACAGTCCACCAGTCCACTAGTTATTGTAACAAATTCAATGTTTATTCTCCAGACACACAATTACAGACAATGCCCACTATAGCATCCATGGAATATACATAATTAAACCGAATAAAAAGCAGAGTAAAACTATTTTGTATTATATGTAATGGACAATTCATGACTTGCACAAAGGAATAAAAACGAAAAAACAGGAAGTTTGTTCCTCCTGGTCATGCCTCTGTCGCTCCACAGTATGAAATGAGTCCAGGCCCAGAAAAAACACTGCAGGACTACATTTAGTTAGTACCACTCCACCCCACGCACCAGCTCAGTGTCTTTTCTCAGTGTCTGTCCCGAGAGCCCCATTTACAGTAAGCCAAGCCACCTAGCAGGCCAGGAAAGGTACATGCAACCAGGCCACATAAAGTCAAAGAATCACCTCTGTTGTCATGTAATTACTCCTGCGTCTGCATATCTTGAAGATTCAGGTGAAGGGAGGGGGGAAATATCTGGGAGAGGCCCCTGTTTGTAAGATATTTCCAGGTCCCCCTTGGTAAATGAGTGGTTGTAACCAGAGAACCCTCTGATGGCCACAAACAGTGGTGGAAGCAGTCAAACATTCTTTTGGGCTCGGTTGACTCAGTGGTTATCTGAATTGGCTGACAGGTACAGGGTGGCCAAAATGGCTGCTACACTGGTGGTGGAAAGAAGGAGCCCACACACAAGTAAGCAAGTTAGATAGATAATGAACTTTACAATATTAACAAAAGGTAATAATCAGGAAGCAAGGAAGAGTCAGAGAAGGAAAAAACAGTTACAGGTGGAAGCTGAATACTCACCCCCCAGCAGAACCACATGAGAAGAGTTTTCAATGCATTCAATGTTACTACATACAAGATTTTTGGTTTACTTTTCATTGAATTAATGGTTATTACATTAATGGTTATTTCCTGGTTTGGTTCTATCATGCTCAATGTGCTGATGCAATTTAGGTCTGATTTGATTTGTACTTCCAATGGACTGTGGTGTTCTGAAAAATCCAATAAAACCTTAATCAGACAAAAATAACTGGAATCTCACAGCAGAAGCGAAATGCTAGAATAAAAAAAAAAAGGGTAGCCTATATTTTTGGGTGGTTCCAACTGTCACAGCAGCTATGATCAGTGGCATCAACTTGTGGATGATTGGAGATTTCAGAGACACTGAAAGGAAGGGAGGAGTTATAAGGTTATAAGACTGAATTGTTGTCCGACACCAGCTCCAGCTGCAGTTCTCTTAGAATCTCTTTAGATGGAGCTCCAGGAAGTGGCAGACCTCTGCTTTCCACATCTCTCTAACAGCTCCTGCAGGAAGCCTGCGCCTCCTTGGGCTGATGTTGTGCTGCTTCACATCCTGCCGTCCTTCATCTCTGTGCTCACGGTGGTTCTGAACCTGCTGGTCATCATTTCAGTCTCCCACTTCAGGCAGATAGTGACTCCTTATTATGCACTCTTCGTTTTACAGGCACTGTTTATCTGCATGTAAATTGTTGTACAAAATGAATGAACTGTTGCAAATGTGAACATTAGAAATAGTGTGCAATGGAAAAAGAGAACGCATTTCTTATTCTCTAATTGACTAAAGGATACATATAAGTCTGACATGTTGATTCTACTTTAAACAATTTTTAAAATAATTTGCAACTGCAGTAAGAGGCTTTGTTGTTTTGATGTTTTTTTTTTATTACAATTTTAAATTAACAGAAAAAGAGTTATATGTACTCTATTATTCTCTAATTGACTAAAGGATATATACAAGAGTGAAAGATTAGTTCTACTTTAAACAAGTTTTTTAATATTTTGCAAATGTAATAAGAGGGTTCGTTGCTTTTCTGTCTCTTTCCAGGAAGCTCCACACACCCACCAACATCATCCTCCTCTCTCTGGCCGTGTCAGACTTTCTCATGGGTCT